CAATTTTACTAATTAATCACACCCAATTATACATTCTACATACCGAATCTCGTCTCTCCCATTTTTACTTATTTCACCACAGTATATTATTTATATCACTTTTTAAATCATTTACAAAACATTCATCACATTTCTCCATAATTAATTTAATTTCTATCCAAAAACTTCATTTCTTAGCCCCAACAACTTCTCTTAATCCAATGAATCTCTTGGTTACTTTTGCTTTTGTTCTTTTCCCTCGTAGGTTAATCTTTATTTCGAATAATTTTTCTGTCATTAGAATTCTCTATAAATTTGTCTCTAATCATATCATATTAATATTTTCTGCTCCAAACAGTATACATTACACATTAATGACGCGTGATTTTTGTTTGCCACGACAGTTCTAACCCACGTTAGAATCTAAGGAAATTAGATTTTTCTTCAGAAATTCATTTGTAGGTCCTTCGTTAGTTATCATTACCTTGTTCTATGCCTCCTCTGTTTTTAAGATGTCAAATTTTATCAAATTTCTGACATTTTATTAAAGTTGTGATCTTCCCCCTGTCAAGACATGACTGTCAGAAATACTCCGGCCATTCTAATTTTGTTTTTATATATACATATTATTTATACAAATTTAAAATCACATGCTCATTTCTAAATATGATACATATGAATATTCCAACTGATTAATCTATATTATAAAAATCAATATCAAACCTTGATTTGAGATATTACAACTGAAACATTACTGTGTTGAGTGATCTTTAAAAAAATAACTTTTAAGATCTACTCAGACTGCAAGGAACTAGTGGTCCATTCTGCCACCAATCCAGTTGAGGGATAAGAAAGAACAGGTTTTGGGGGTATTTCTTGAGAATTCATGTTACCTTCTAACATTTCTATTATCCCTTGTGCAGGTACTCTAATCCTCTGGCTATCCCTTTCGCAATTTGCAACAGATTATCCCAACTCAAAGATGAAGTGCTCTCTAGTCCCTTATTACCGATAAACTTGTCGAGGGAACCATTAGGCATGAATTCATAAATAAGGGCTTTCTTCTTTCCTTCTAAACAGAATCCAAGAAGTTGGACAACATTAACATGAGATGTTCTACTGATGCTGGCAACCTCATTGATAAAGTCTTTGCCATTTCCTTTCGATGCCCTTAATATTTTTACAGCCACATGGTAACCATTGCGTAACTCTCCTTTGTATACAACACCAAACCCACCTTCACCCATTTTAACTGTGAAGTTTTTGGTTATTTTCTTGACTTCTGAAAATTTTTATTTCTTTTGTGCTAGAGTTCCATGATCTTTTAAGAATACTTCAATATCTTGCTCATTAGTAATATGAAATTTTGTCTTTCTTATTGATGAGATGCGTTTTCTGCAACCTATTATGAGGCATATCATGAATATCCCCATTGCTCCACTTGCAGTACCTGTGTTAATAGATATATTAGAGGAGTTACGAGCTATAAGAAACATTTGAACTGCCTTCTATAACTAAAAATATTATTTAAAATATCATGTTTCATTAACTTTAATTGGGAAAATGGAAAATAGATTTATTCTTTCCAATGCTTTCACAAAAGCTTTTTTGAAAACAAAAATGGAAACCCCTTGACTTTTAAGATTGGTATATGTGTGTGAGAGTGTGTGGGTATGAAGCATAACGAAACAATAGGTATAAAAGGAAATTTGAAAAATATTCGCAATTATATGTGGTTGTATTTTGTTTATTTGAGAATTTTTATTAAGTGAGCCTTAGTTTTTTGGTTGAGATTTAATACAAAAGTTATATACTCTCTCCAAATTTTATGAAAAAATTGAATTTTCTAAAAAATAATATAAGAGAAAATCGTATTAATTATGTATTGAATCTTGAATTGTCCGGTTGAACAATTTAAGAAGATTTATCACTTTTTTTAGTTTATTGACACATACATATTTTAATATACATATCTTAAATTTCATTAAAATTTATCAATTGTGTTTTGTAAAGATTGTTGAATCATATTTGATTATGGTTGATAATCACTTTGGATAACTCAAAATCCTGACAAAATTTTGTTAAATTTAAGACATGTTTAAAATTGATATGTACCACTAAACTAACCAAAGTGAATCTTTTAAGTGAAATAGGATCAAATCTTGAATACAAAAGTGATTGAGGTGATCATTCATTTAAAAATTATTGATATTGTGTAAATTATTGCACTATCCGTATGGATCGAGATTGAATTAATTTACCATGCATTCACACTCATTATGACGGTAAGCATAGCAAATTTCAATTATTATATGACTATTAATGAAATATATGTGAAAAAAATTAAGAAAAAAAATGAAAGAAAACTAAACCTAATTACCTATAATGATTTTCGTTCTCCAATTCATTCGTCCTGCAACGGATAGAAGGGAAAGCAAAGATGGGTTAGCATTCTCCCAATGCAAGGATGATAATATAGTAAACATAAACACACAGATACAAACATACAATTTCACCGATGCCTCAAGAAGAAAGTACGCGCTAAGGGTTATGGCATGACATTATGAGGCAAAATGGGAATTACCAATTAGTTTAAGTTGCACTGGTATCAAACAACTTAGAAGTTAGTCATTCTATACTTGTTTTTCGATTCAAATCTATGATGATTAGTTTCTAACTTAGTATAGAATTTGGTCCTCTGCATATTTTGATGATAAGTATATAATGCATGACAATTGAAAAATATATTGGTAGGATAGGCTTTAACCATGATTCTGATACCATATTAGAAAGTGGTTTTAAGCCTAATTCAACCTATAAAATCGACTTGTAAGATGAAGTTTGCACCCCTCTTATATATTATAATTTTATCTTATCTCTAGTCGACGTATGACTTCCAACAATTAGTGTGACTAGACACGTTTAAGTAGGACTTATCCTTGCAGAAACAGAGAAACTGATTGCCATCAAATCCACAACGTCCACCACTTTTCTCACAGTACTCGCAATAAGGTGCAGTCCAATTCAAAAGAAACCCCATCTTCAAAATCTCGATGTAATTCATTCTCAATAAGCCAGTGAAATTAACAGAAGCATTCATGCTAAATGGCGCATTGACCATAAGCTGACACTCGTTTAAGGAATAGCTTTTGTATCGGAATGCAACCGTATGTATATAGCTCCATTGAATAGATAAGAATTTAGATATATAGTCATGTATACAAATATTGCAAGGTCATGACTAAAAGCTATAAAAAAGCACTAAAGAGTAATATTTTAAAATTTATTAATGTTTCGTTACTACAAGGGGTAAATCAAAATAGTGGATGATTTTGTTTGAGCAACCATATTTTAGGAAAAATAAGAATAATTGAAGAAATCAAAGTCTGCTTCGCAATTTTGATACTTTAAAAATCTCAAAAGTAGCAGAAAGCAGAAAATGATGTCCATGATGGTGAAATACGTGTTGGACCACAAAAGGAGGAAAACATCTACATTTACTCATAAATACAATCAACAACTCTGTTAAAAACATATATATATATATATCACTTACGATGCTGTTTAATTTCAATAAAGGATTCTTTTTACGAATATACAATTACTTCATAACTAATTATAATAATATATCTAAGTTAATAAATAATTTTTAAATATTATATTATCAATTTATTATTATAATAATAAAAGTGTGAAATTGTTATATATGAAATAAAAATTGTCAAAATATCATTGTTGATTTAATTTTTAAATGATCACTTGTCGAGATGAGCTGCTAAACTAGAAACTATATTATTAATGAAAAATTCTTCCTCTTCTGAATGATTGGGGTTACATGCACATGCATCCGTAAAATCAAAGTAAAAGAAGGAAAAGTAGAAAAAGGATGGATAATACTTTATTGTCGTGCATGATGTTAAGGACGGGTCCCAATAATTTTAGACCATAAAAAACAACACATGTATGCTTAGACTGTGAGTATATAAGTAATAATTTCATAATAGGTCAAACTTGCCCCTCTTAAAAGGATATACAAGAAATTTTGTCTTGAGCGATTCTCTTTTCCATGTCTTTTCTTAATAATTATATATCTTACAATAATATATGCACTACATGAACAATTTTTAGATACATACGAACAATCAGAATTGCAGTTAAAAACAAATTTAGACATACAATAATATATGCACTACATGTCTTTTCATACGCTTATTTCAATATCTTCCATACTTTATTTTTTGTGTCTAAAAAAATTATTATAGTTTCAGTGTTGATTTACAAAATCCCAGGTAGATGCTGCCCGATCATCGAAATTTGTATGGGAGAAAGCAATGGAGTCTATTTAGTATTCATAAATTAGAGGCCTTTTACATCCTGGACGTGATTTTTCACTTCTCAACATGTTTAACATGTAAGGTATTTAGATCCTTATGAAAAAGAAGTTGAATGGCACCATTGAAAAGAATAAGATTATAGCAGGAGAACATAATAAAAACTAGAGAAGGAAGAAAACATACTCTGAGCACGTGGATACTCTGGTGGAGAGAAATAATAATAAGGGAAAAAGGGTAGTAACGGTGAATTTTCTGGTATTACTGTAGGTGTTGGTGCTGGAGACCTTGCAGCATGACTAGATAAATATGTTTGGAAGAGGAGTGATAAGAAGAAAAGGGTGCTGATGATGGTAGAAGGAGATGAAACAAGAGGAAGAGGCATGGTAGAAATCTGAGATGGGCCTTAATTTGCAGGAGAACAATGTCAGAGGCCTCGTTTGTCAGTGAGGCAAATGATCAACTACACAACGACTATCTCTTTATAACTCAAACTAACTCAAGTTCCCAACTACATTGATGGCTATTAAAATAAATGGCGTTGAAGATATGGGAAAAACGTTGAAAATTCTATAGCATATATATCAAACAGAAGGTGTTATAAAAGTCAATATTGAACGTTGACTTGAGATGTTACAAATAAAACATAATTATGTTGAGTGATCTTCTTTGAATAATAACTTTTAAGATCTACTCAGACTGCAAGGAACTAGTGGTCCATTCTGGCACCAATCCAGTGGAGGGATAAGAAAGAACAGGTTTTGGGGGTATTTCTTGGGAATTCATGTTGCCTTCTAACATTTCTATTACTCTACTCATAGTTGGTCTATCTTTTGGAAACGTTTGAATGCACCACAAACTAACTGTAATCATTCTCCTTTCTGTCTCTTTTTCTTCTGTGACTATATCACTTCTCAAATCTTGGTCTTCCTCCAGCTTTCGGTATATCCAATCTGGGAAGTATTCACTTGTTTCAGTGGTTTCTTCATTAACATTGTTCCTCACTCCCACTATTTCTAGTAGCATCATTCCATAGCTATACACATCAGATTTTTGTGAAACTCCACCAAAATGTTTGTTGCACACTTCTGGAGCTACATATCCTATTGTTCCTCTCGCATCTGAAACTGAAATAGTGCTCTCTTTCCCAGGACAAAGTTTTGCAAGCCCAAAGTCTGATATCTTGGGACAGAAGTTGTCATCCAAAAGAATGTTATGTGGTTTTATGTCAAAGTGTAAAATACGAGTGTTGCATCCCTTGTGCAGGTACTCTAGTCCTCTCGCTATCCCTTTTGCAATTTGCAACAGATTATCCCAACTCAAGGATGGAGTGCTTTCTAGTCCCTTATTACCGATAAACTTGTCGAGGGAACCATTAGGCATGAATTCATAAATAAGGGCTTTCTTCTTTCCTTCTAAACAGAATCCAAGAAGTTGGACAATATTAACATGAGAAGTTCTACTGATACTGGCAACCTCGTTCATAAAGTCTTTGCCATTTCCTTTTGATGCCGTTAATAATTTTACAGCCACATGGTAACCATTGCGTAACTCTCCTTTGTATACAACACCAAACCCACCTTCACCCAGTTTAACTGTGAAGTTCTTGGTCATTTTCTTGACTTCTGAAAATTTATATTTCTTTTGTGCTAGAGTTCCATGATCTCTTAAGAATACTTCAATATCTTGCTCATTAGCCGTTCTTCTTGATGACATACATTTTCTACAACCTATTACGAGGCATATCAATATTCCTATTGCTCCAATGAAAGTACCTGTGTTAATATATATATATTACAGGAGTTACGATAAAAAAACAAATACGGTAGCTAATTTTAAACGTTTTCTTTTCCAAACAAGTGTTGAAGAGACGCAAAAATGTAAGGCTTAAAATCATCATCAAAATCTTGTGTAAGATAGTATATGTTTCATGACCTTTATTTTAGAAAATTGAAAACAAAATTATGTTTTCCAATTCTTTCATATATTTTTTTGTCAATGCTTTTTTTGAAAATCAAAATCGAAACACCTAGATTTGTAAGTTTGGTATGTGACTATCATTGTTCTGGTACTGGATGGATAAAAGATTTGTCATGGTTAAATATTCTATGGGCTTAATATATTATATATTTGTTTTCCTTAAACACCATTTTAGTTTTTTATTTAATTTTTGGACCATGATACTTTGATCCTAATAAACTTCTACACTCCTCTTATATCTAATAAAGTACATGCATCTTTTTCTTTTTTCTTTTTTGCTCCCAAAATTTTCTGGAAGGTCATACCTAGGTTAAGATATTGGCCAACTAATAACTTAACCACTGTGGACGAACTGTCCTAATTTGATAGGTATGGCTTCTAGGGAAATAGAAGTAGGCTTCTAGCTTTTCGTTTATCTTAACCTTTTTTATAGATGGGTTTTTGTCTAGGTCTCTCAAGATTTTTTATATATTTTTTTCCAGATATTTAAATTTTGTTATAACTTATTAGTGAGAAATTTGAATCTATAATTTCTCGTAACTTTTCTTCTAAACCTACTATATCAATCTTATATTTCTAAATTAACAGTGAAAAAGTTTAATTCAAACCTCTCACGTTCTCTCTCCCCATTTTATCACTAAATCAATTTTATAGTTCTTAACTAACAAATAGTTTGATTCTACAAAAGTCAACAATGAGTATATATATATATATATATATATATATATATATATATATATATGAAACATACCAAACAAAAAACAATATGTATGAAAGGAAATTGTGTCATTACCTATGACGATTATCGCGTATAAAATGACATCTACAACATTGAGGGAAAGAAAAACGCAAGTAGTTAAAAGAAATATATATACAAATAATACATAATGAATAATATGACGTGACTTTTTAATAACAGGATAGGATACAATAGGATAGAATGAAGATAACACTATAATATGATAGAATACGAAAAAGGAATAAGATAACAATATAAGATAAACCGTAATCGTATGTGATGTTTATTGTGCAACTTGATAAACACTAAATATTAATAACGTGTAATAACGACGGTAGTGATTATTGATATTTTAAAGAACAATAAGATAACAATAATGGCTATGTACTACAATTACAATTATAACAATGATGTAAATAATAAAAATGAAACTATGGCAACAATGACAATGCTACCCCCACAATGAATTATCCAAATTTATATAGGATAGTTATTAGAATAAATTCATATATGTTTATATGTAATTTTGTATTTATTTCTCATTTATATCTAATGTTCGACTTCGTACTCAAGTTTGACGTCAATAAATGCAATGGATTAATTCAAATACAATAAATCACCTATGAGATTTTATTATGGTGTGCATGTGGAAATGTTTGAACAAATTTTTTTGTAGATATTTTTAAGAAATAAATATAGGTAGAGCAATCTGGATCGTATAATTGATAAGTTATGAAAAGTCTAAAGAGAAATATTTAAATATTGAGTAATATTCTGTGATTTAGCACGAGTGGATGATTTGGTTTGAGCACCAAGTTAAAGTAAACAAGAATAAGTGGAGAAATAGTTTAGCAATATTAATTCTTTAATAATATCAAGAAGAAAGCATCATGATCGATTGGACCCTAGGTTGGTTTAGTTCCACCCAAGTGATAATTAAGTGCGGTTTTTCTTTTTGCACTCTCATTATTACTAACCACATCCCATTTTACATGTCGTTGTTTTGTGGCACTGATACGTAAGATATGAGAGGCGGAAAATTGAAAAAAAAGAGAGAGAAGACTTACCTGTGTCGAGAGAACACTGTTCATTTGGGCAATAGTTGCATGAAACTAGACGTTCATCATAACCATAACCATACGGTGAGCAACTTTCGTCACTTTCTCTGCATCTTGTGCAGCCACGAGGAATACTATAGTTGACCTTAAACGCATCATTGAGAGCTTCTTCCAGAACTCCAGCTCCGTCATCAGTGTCATCGTAACGATCCAGAGGACCGGCAGCAGGCACGTTCAAACGTCTATTGCAATCCTTAAGCGGTGGGTATTTGTGGAGCATCTCCTTTTCCGTGTACCCCTCCTCAAAATAATACACAACATCCGCGCACGTAAACTTGCGTTTTAAAGGGAAATTTGGGATTGTAGGACAATGCTCAAATATGATGATTTTACGCACTGACGCGTTATACTGGAGCAGAGTGCTGTTGAAGTTATCGTAATCGAAGTTCTGGTAGCCGTCAAAAAGGTGAGTAGAACAGACATGGTCGACAGGGGGTCTTGGCATCAGTTTCATGGTGTGAGTGGTGTTGTCGATATCTTTCACTGTGAAATTTTGAGATTCATAATGAGCATGGCAGGTGAGCAGGAATGATTTGTTGGGGCCGTTACATTGAGAGGGTGGAATCTTTTCCCAGGGAGGATCGAAGATGGCGGAAACGTTCCAGTTGCACCTGTATAACTGCTGAGCACAGAGCGGTGGTGGTGGTTGAGAGTGGGAGTATGGCAAAGCGATGAAGAGTAATAAAGAGACGGTGAGTGCGAAGGCAAGGGGAGAGGTGTGGATGTGACTATACTTATCATCCATTCTCACACTTCTTCTCACTTCCCTCCCAACTCTCTCTCTCTCTCTCTCTCGTAAATGAAGGCTACAGAAGCACTTTTTGTCAGCACCAACGGTTGAATAAACTTTAATGTGGCCAACGTCAATGTCCCATACAGTAATCACAATCATGAAATGCACCACCCTTGGTGCAGTAGTGTTAGGTATTGTGGGGGTATGATCATTCTCTGGAAAAAAATATGTCAACACACAACAAGATTTTGATATGACCACGTGTACTGATTAGTACATTTTATTATATTTTTGAATTTATTTTATATTGACGTGGAAATGAAATTTTAGAAAACGAATGCCCTGGTTTCAAACTTTCGACTTCTCCTTTTGCAAATCTTCGTTGCAGTCGACCATACCTCATTGGTGTGTTTTATGGTTGCTCTCTGATTCGCTTTTATTGAGCTCCCAAAATCTAGGTTATTAGGAGCGAACTCTTTTGGTTTTATCAGTTTTTCATTTTGAGTGACAATCTGATTCTTCGGTGATTGGTTCATTTTCATTGTTTGGAACAGTTTGTAGTAAGTAAAGTGAAATCCATGACACAATCTATTATATATCTATTAAAACTCTAAGAAGAAAACTATTAATACACTCATGACAATTTAGTGTGACGTAACGAAGACATATAAGAAATGGAATCCACAAACTTCATCATTGCACTTACTGTGTCATATCAGACATGAGCATTAATAGGGTAGCATAGTATAAATAAGTGGATAGGTATGTTGTAATTTTTGCACAACTTTTCCTTAACGTGAATCTTTAAAGGTTCTTACATCAACTAATTTCATTAACTACTAATTTACTACTAAGGTCATGGGTGGCACCAATTATAAACACAAACTGTATCAACATACTCACTCTTTAAAGAAAAAAACCTCATAACAAACTTCACAATTAACTGGGTAGCATAGTACAAATAAGTGGTTAGCTAGCTGAAATTTTTGCACAGTTTTTTTTAATGTGAATCTTTGAATGTTCTCATATCAACCAACTCCATCAACGGATAATCTATCACCCAAGTCATCAATGGTATAATTTATGTTAAGAAACCAAATTTTTGCTTGACACTAAAAATCTAAAATGCACTTAAAATCAGAAGTCAGCACTTCTGTCATATGCCTAGTTTTTCAAAACTGAACATTGCACAAAGTGAATATGATGAACAATCCACTTTTAGAGTGAATATAATGAACAATCTACTTATATCATGAATCACAATTATCAAGATCTTTAAATTAATGAATTTCCTTTTAATATAGACTTCAATCAACACATTTATTTTCAATACTCATATTTTTTGTGTTTCTGTTATCTTTTCACAAGTGAGACGAAAAAAGAAAAAATGAAGAATCATAGAGGAAGAAGATAATGGAAGTGAAGGGTTTGCAGAAAAATAAATTTTCAAAGATAAAACAAGAACTAGTAAATTAAATCAATAAAAGTGATTATTCGATTTGTCACAATCAAAATTGGATTTGTCATTTCTTTCTGTTTGTGACGTTCTTAAAATGTTTGAATCTTTATTCACAATTTTTCACCTTCTGTTTATATTAGATCTATCTATTTATATTTTTCTCTTATTTTGTGAGTTACTCGACCCAATAAAAAAAAAGATAAAATACATATATTAAAATAACAACCTTAAACTATCCACTTAAGGTTATATATCCTAATTGATTTCACGATCTGTAGCCTTTAATGTATACAACCTTTTTCTCGAATTAACTTTAATCTATGCTTCAATTGCTCCTCTTTATGTTTCTCTACTTTGATTTAGTTTCTTTCCATGTCTTTTTATCCTAGTCAAGTTTTTTTTGTCTTAACAATGTCCGATTCTTCATCTTGATCCTACTTAGCTTCTTGACACATTTATTTTCCATCCCTATAACAATGTGTAAGATGATTTCTTCAATTCAATTATTTTCTCGATTCCCTCAACATATATCCCTAAGAAAATACTAATTCCACTGTGTTGGTTTCAAGGTATACGAAGAGTTAGGACAATTGATATACCAACAATACCAAACCCAAGCTTTATGAGACTTGGTGGGAAAGAAACCTTGGAAGGAAGGATACAAGTCATAAAAGAAACACGATAATTTGTCAAGAGAAAAGGAAATTTTTTTTAAATAAAAATGAAGTATTGATTGGTAATAGCTGCACTCTTGGAGAGCATCAGATTCATTTGGGCGATAGCTGCACGAAACTACATATTCATCATAACCGTCGCCCCCAGCAACTTCTATTTTCGTTGCATCATGTACAATACACCCCTCAGCTTGGTCCACAACTTATATATATATAATATTACAACTGAAACATAATTAAGTTGACAGATCTTCTTTAAAAAACAACTTTTAAGATCTACTCAGACTGAAAGGAACTAGTGGTCAATTCTGGAACCAATCCAATTGTTGGAGAAGAAAGAACAGGTTTTGGGGGTATTTCTTGAGAATTCATGTTGCCTTCTAACATTTCTATTACTCTACTCATAGTAGGTCTATCCTTTGGAAA